AGAAAAGAAAAACAAAGAAGAGAGAATTAAAGAACTTAAAAAAAATAAGCACAATAATTCAATGAATTATCAAGAAAAAGAATGGAGGTTGTGGCTAACCAAATGGCAATAGGAAGTTTCATTTACAGATTTAGGAAGGAATTGTATTATGTCCAATTTTCACTACTCATGGAACATTTTTCTCTATACACCAAATGAAAAACTACTTGGATAGTTGGGAATTTTAAATTTCAAAATTATCCTAATTAGGTCAGTGATAGTTAACTGAAGGGTTCTTATACTACATACATTTTACAGTAAGGAAAACAAAGTAAGAACCTATAAATCCCAAATATTRTCCTCTTGATAGTTGTTGAATTTACTCTTAGTTACTATAGGTCTTCTTTAATAGTAATTGAATAGATTTTTAATTATTAAAAAAAGTATTAATTCAAATAAAAATGATTACAACAGATTTCTCTCCATACTACCATATTTCATATAGGGATACAAAAGCTTTTTTTTGATATTAGCCTATTGGATACCCTTCTAAATGAATAATGCATTTTGTTATAAGAGAAATAAAACTGAGATTGTTGTAATAGAATGTTATTATGCATCTTACTGTATCTGGTTTTAAGGATTTGTTCCCTATTTGTTCCCTAGCTAACTGAGTATGACAGGTTTTATTTCCCCCTATCTCTTATATTCACAAGGAAGCAATTTCATTCCCCAAAGCTTAAACGGAGCACATTCTTTTGCCTTTTAAATAGCAAATTTTTAAAATAATTTACATTTAGATATCTGAAGTAACCATCAAAATTATAAAAATGGAACAGCTTTCCAGAAGTTGCTTTCAAATGTGTTCATCCTGAAGCACACATATCACTGGATGAAACTAATTACTTTTGGCTCTCCTTAACAAGGTATCTCAGGTATAATGAAACCTGATCTGTACTATGTCCCTACTCTCACAAATTTAACTAAAAACAAATTCAGCTCTTGTAAGTGTAAAATAATTCCTTGAGGTCTATATGTTCATTGTTTTATTTTGCAAAATGATACATCATTCACTTATGATAATACACACTTCATAAAAGTAGAGACTGAGATCACAAAAATCATTTGAAGAAAAGTGGTAGAAAATAATTTCAATCTCAATAATTTACTTTATTAAATCTAATAAAATATTTTTTGCATTTAATGAGAATATCACTAAGATTTTTGCTTATGTATTACTATTTAAAAAGTTATTTCATATATTTCATTTTCCCCAGCAGTTAATCTAATAGATATATACCATGTTATATTGTTTTCCCTCTAATTACAATGTACTTTGAAGTTAAGCATTACTACATGGGGAATGGTATATCTTTCCTCCTCTCAAAGTTACTGAATGCGGTTAAYGGCCGGGATTAATTTCCATTTCTCTCTATTGAATACATGAAYAAAAAAATTCAAAGTGTCAGGAATAGTTGAACAAAACAATATTATTTATTTATATGAGAAATTCTGGAAACTATTAATCTAATAGCCCATAGGACACTTAATGTGAAAAGTCATTTGAAAGCTGGTGCATGCCTATGACATGATGATCCCATCGACTCCATAGAGACTAAGGCAGGAAGATAACAAGTTCAAACCCAGCCTCAGCAACTATGCAGAACCTAAGTGACATAGCAAGATCTTGTCTCAAAATAAAATATAAAAAGGGCTGAGAATGTAGCTCAGTGGTTAAGTGCCCCTAGGTTCAATCCCTCATACCCACTCCCCACAAAAGGCAGTTGTTAACAAATTAGCACTTTTGGATAAAGATAAATTTGATCTTGGTTTCCTTAACAGGGCATCCATTAAAATATCAACCCAGGAATAACACATTGAGGGATGCTTCAGAATGTTTTCATTGCTAATATCTAATCTAATAACAATAACCTGTAGATAGTTAATATGCCATGTGTATTTTTTGTTGCTATCATTTACCATTTTATTTTATATTCCCATTATTTTGTTAATTTTTTTAAAGAGAGAGAGAGAGAGAGAGAGAGAGAGAGAGAGAGAGAGAGAGAGAGAATATGAATCTTTTTTGTAGATGGACACAACACAATGCCTTTATTTTTATGTGGTGCTGAGAATCGAACCCGGGTCCCACCTGTCCTAGGCAAGTGCTCTACCACTGAGCCACAATTCCAGCCCTATTTTGTTAATTTAAGTAAGATAAAATATTTGCAAAGCAGCTTCTCTGGTGAAATAATTAATTAAATAATTTATTTTTCCTTAGATAGGAGAGAGATAATAAAAGAAACATTAATTAAGTCTTTAGTAATAATGTTAGATTTTCATAGAATTTTCATGGAACAAGATATATTAATAATACAGCCATATGTATTGAAAGAAAACTTAAAATCAAACAAGTTAGTTCTTTGTATCATATTATTGTAATTAAATCATCCATTACTGAATGTTCACACTGAGCTTTTTTTTTTTTTATGGCTGTAATCTCTGGCGCATAAAGCATACGAAAACGACAACACAAACTTCTAAACTCTAAACAGGTAGCTGAAATTTGTGTCAATGTTTTATTACATTTTATCACTTCTTGCCAATATTTATGATGAAGCAGTCACCTATTTATAAACACTTTATGGAAATAAATACACTTCATCCACATATATAAGGATCATGAAATTTCCTCTCTGGGTCTATTTGTAATATTTCTCCATAAGCCTCAAAGTAGCTGACCCTTTCAAAAGGTAGAAATGTTATTTTATTTTTCTGGTGGGTTGAAGTAAACAATCATTTGTATTCTATACTCTTAAGTATTAGCAGTTTCAGGAGTGCCATTTTTGAGTTTTCATATATCTGTATATGATATATTTTTCAATCACCATTGCTTCCCTCTGGCATTATAATTCTTGAAAACTGTGAGGAAGTTGMAACTAAAGAATTAAATGGTATAAATACACTTTTCTCAAACCCTTTGAGCAGCAAAGGGAAGAAAAACRCAGCACAGATAACTGCATAACTTTGCCCTTTATGGTTTTACTTTAGATTATTTGTTAAAAAAAGAAATTATTAAATTTTCATGTGCTCTGAAGAGCCTAGCCTTGGTGTATAAGATGAAAACAAAAGGAAGTATTATTAACTGCTTCATTGCCAAGGAATAGGTGTCATATGCCTGCCAGCACTGCAAGAACTCATGATCCTCTGGATTGCAACTCTCTGGAATTGTGATGTTGCAGGATGTGTCCTCACTCTGATTTCAGTGCTCCTGTTTGAGGTCAGGAGACCCCAAGCTGCCTTCTGTGCCTGCAGTCATCACGTGGCACAGTGAGCACAATTACAGAGAACTTGTGCAACCAGCTTGACTCACATCTCTGTTTTTTATATTAAACAAATTCTACGATCTGCCGAAATCATTTTACTCAGCCAGTATGCCTGAATACCTTCCTTACAAGTTTTTTAAATAGAAAATATCATTAAAAGTCATTGCAGTGTGAAATTTCTTTGAAGAAAGTGGATTATAGAGAAGCAGAGACATATATAAGGAATTCACGTTGTTGAAGAGGCCTGTTTGCTTTTCTGCATAGAGGCAAATATGAGGGTAAGCAGCCCTTTTATCTGTGTCCCTCCTAGAGAGGCCTCAATTGCTTTGCACTGGACTCTCTACCTTCCTGAAAGGATTGCTGCCACTCAGAGTATAGAGGACCATATCCTGCCAGAATGGCAGAAATACCACCCACTAGGAAAAATTTTGTTGGGCAGGGTGAGGACTCCTCCAAAGTCTGATCCTCAAACAACATGTTTCAGAAGCCTTAGTTCTTTCTCATACCATAATGTCACCATTTTATCCACCTTTTATCTTTGTCAGTGAACCAAAATAAATCAAGGTTATTTSTACTTGATATAAAGCCACATATCACAGTTGAATAATAAATGAACAACACCAAAAATGCTGAGTGTTTTCTTAAACTCAGGAATGCTACGTTGTAAATGAGTATACCCTTATTATCATTCCCGCTTCTCTATCCTGCCAAAGTATATGGCCCTGTAAAGGTAGTCTGCAGGATCTTCCCTTCCCCTTCCCCTTCCCCTTTCCCTTTCCCTTTCCTTTCCTTTACCTCCCTCCCTCCTTCCCTCTCTTCTTTCTTTTTCTTTCTAAAGCATGTGATCAGCTCTGAGTTTTAAAACTGTCAGCATCTTTGTAGAATCTTCCACTTTAATAAGGAGCAAGTAAAAGAACATTCTAAAATATTTGTTGTTCAAAGTTGATAAGAAGTACAAGCTTGAAACTCTCTCAAGAATCAAGATCTACTACTACCCTGAAGGGATGACCTTGGTTAACTTCTTTGCCACCAATTTTATTGCAAAAAAAAAAAAAAAAAAAAAAAAAAAAAGAAGGAGGATGGTGATTCTGAAATCAGAAAACTACATTATTTCAGTAGTAAAGACATTCTTGTTGAATATACAAAAGTGATACATGTGCTTACAACAGATTGAACAAAGAAATATGAATTTAAAATGCACTTTAAGTCTTTTCTAGATTATTTAAGAATTAAGTCTTTATTTTGATCATTTTGTAACAAATTATACCCCTCTGGTAAAATCTTTACCCAACTAAAACCCCTTAATTGTTTGAATTATTGCACTACAATTTGGGCTCAATGAGGAAAATGTTTAGTGATAAGCAAACTGATTTTAAAAATCATCCACTTTTCTCTATGAAAAAAAATCCTACTTAACTTTAAAAATCACTCATCAGTAAACGTTATAAAAGCACAATGCATGATCACTATATTCATCAATATTTCACACTTCTTTTCCTTAAAAACACAAAAGCATAGTTTTGTGATACATCAAACATATCTCCAATGATGGAAATGCAGAGATATAAATCAAAACACCTTCAGTTTACCTTCCTGACAGGTGCATCTAGGTAACAAGAGCAGGGTGAGACTGCCCTCATTAGGAAGAGACTTGTTATCACACTACTGATGACTCCCATAAATGGGGTGGTGCATTACCTTTGAGAGGTCCCCAGCCTCCAGATAGAAGCAGATAACAAACACGTTCCAGGTAACCCAGAGGACTAGCCAGACAGCATACTGTGGAAAAGCAAGAGAGAAGTGACAAGGAATTAATTGGGAATATGCTGTGTAAGATTCAAAAAGAACTTGAATTTCTGTACTCCTAATTGATAAGATTCAGGGGAAATATTAGATATTGCTTCTTTCCAAGGAACAGGACTAGATATACTTTCATCTCTCTGTTGCTTTCCTTTCACTGTTATGGAATCTTACACTATTATAGCTCAAACTTACTGAAGGAAGATTTTTAGATTTTAAGACAAAAGTAATTAGTCACCCACATTTCTGGTTTAAGGGTGAATTATTTCAGCTTCTAGATACACAAAATAATGGCTTCTCCAAAAGAAACATTAAGTATATTAAAAAAACTAATGTTTTCATCCAATAAAATTGTCCTTATATAGGACAATGTATGACCTTTCTCCAAGTTAGGATCCTCTTCAAATCAGTCCTCCATCTAATCAGCTTTTCTCTCCTTGGTGTCTCCTTTTCATTTCTCTATTCACATTCTCACTTTATCCTCTTATAATCTCCCACAACAATAGCCGTATAGCTACCATGCCCAACTTCCTTTCACTGTCCAGTTAGTGTAACTTCTGTAGGGATGGGAAATAGCTCTCTTGCCAACCCATACTTTTGGTGATTCAGTCAACTAATAAGTATGAAGAATSTAGAAGACAACATACTAGCAAAACCCTGAATATACAAATGCCAAAGATAAATGCTCCCTGCATCCAAGTCAAGAAATAGATAAGAAAAAATATGGTAATCATACAGGAAATATAAATAGGCATTTATCCGGAGAAGAGGAAAGAAGATGGAAAGATCACATAGCATAGCCTGGGAAATAAAAATCACTTGCATTAACACAAGGGGTCAAACTCCTCCTAGAAGTGAATCAAGCTAACTTCAGATTTAATGAAATAGAGTGGAGATTGGAAGGTTGGTGGTGAGAGGTTCCTGTCAAAAGAGAAAATAGCAGGTAGGATTTTCTAAAAAATGCAAAAAGATGGTAACATGTCACTTCCTGCTAAATAAATGCCCATGATTTCCATTCTTTCCATGGTGAGTTTGAAGTCTTTATTTTATGGTTCAAAACTGTGATCTTGTACCATATTATCTTTTGAACCACATGCTTCAGTTAATCCCTTGAGTAATCTTGAATTCCAGGCACATTGAATACTTCCTGTCCATGTACTTGGAGAGCTATTTCCCATCCCTTTGCTGTTTTGTATGTTACTCCTTTATCCTTCAACAATTTTTATTCCTTTTACGTAGTCTTCTTACCACCTATCACTATTTTATTTTTCCTCAGTTGTCAACTCAAATATCACCTCCTGAGTTATACTCAATCAGAATTGGCTGAGTTCCATGTACTATGTGAATAGACTCTGCCTATCCTGATTTTATTGCAAATGTCTTATATTCAATTATTTGCATACATTTTCCAATGTACAATGATAATCTCCTTGAGAAAAACAACTTTAAAATATATGTGTTGATATGCTTAAGCTCCCCAATTAGTACTTTCGGCAAAATATGTATTCAGAAAAACATCAATAAATCAATGACTAGTAACCTGGAAAGGTAGTGTCAGAAATGAGAATTCTAYGATATGATTATGTAGTACTAAGTGGTGACTTAGCTGTTTCTCAAAAGTGATGGGTTTATCAAAATGCAGAATAGGTGTATTGCTTAGTAGAGTATGAAAGCCAAACCAAGTGGTCCAAGACAACAGAAGGGGACTGAGAGGATATTTGAGGTGAGGGCTGGGAAATGGAGACAGGATCAGAAAACTGAGCAGACTGCAGTTAGAGAGGAACTTCAGTTTCAGAGCAAAAAATGGATGAGACTTTTAGGTTGGCTCAATATTGTGAAGAATATTCATCTCACTATAATTAAAAACAATAAAAAACCACAAAAATCTATAACTATTTTTCTGTTTTCAAATTTAGATTTTAGCCTTAAAACTATAATAATGGTTCTTGCTTCAAAGGTAAAAGGCTGAGAAAAATTTATGCCTACAGGTTTTAGTCATTAGATTTCAGTGAGAAAGAAGCAAGTGGAGGGCTGGAGATGTGGCTCAGCGGTAGCGCGCTCGCCTGGCATGCGTGCGGCCCGGGTTCGATCCCCAGCACCACATACCAACAAAGATGTTGTGTCCGCCGAGAACTAAAAAATAAATATTAAAAATTCTCTCTCTCTCTCTCTTTCTCTCTCCTCTAAAAAAAAAAAAAAAAAAAAAGCAAGTGGAGTGGAATCAAGCATCCAGGCAGATGGTAATATTTTATAATGTTCTTTGTTCATAAGGATACATGTTCCCCACTATATTTGCGATGGAGAGCTAAACAAACACTGTGTACTAAAAAATGATGTAGCAGTACAGTAAAATATTTGGTAGGAGCTGTAATACACATATCAAATATTCCTGAAAATTTGTTATTGGAAGGCATGTTTCCTGATGTAGCAGTAAAGAATGTCAATGCTGCAGCCTTTATATTTCACAACTGGAATTTCATAGTAAGTTCATTAAGGGCTAAAAGTGGTATTTGATTCCATAGAGTATGCATGGTATACCAACTATATCAATGATAGCTATTAAATATGAAAGTAGAAGGGGTAGAGAGAGAAAAGGGGAGGGGAGGGGAGGGGAGGGGAGGGAGGAGAAAAAAAAAAAAAAAAAAAAAAAAAAAAAAAAAAAAAAAAAAAAAAAAGAATACAGAATCTTCATTAAGATTAATTTAAGCATCATTTATACTTAGTTACTAACATTTGTGTATAAATATTGATGTAAATTATACTTGGTATGTTTACAAATCAAGCTAAAATGTCATGTTTTAGCCAGTAAGGTTAATAACTTTGTGGAAGGATAAGTAAGGTAATGGGTCACCTACAAATAAAGAGCATMAAGAGATTAAGTATTTGGAATCTAATGTCTGGTTTTATCAGTTAGGAACTTTGTGGTTCTATTCAAGTCAAAGGGTCATAGTATATTTCAGTTTCCTCAAAGGTAAAACAGCTTATTAATAGAAACCTCAYGTGGCTTAAAGGAGAATAAAGATGAAATATTTGAAAATGCTCAGTACTTGAGTTCTCAGTATATTTTCCATTTTATTAAAATGATTATATTATATTATTATCTTCCCTTGTTATTATAGTAGTAATCCTATAAATTTTATTCCCTAGTATATTAAAAATATACTTCCTATATTGACTTTATAAAACATTGTCTCAGGTAATTGAATTTGGGAACTTGGTTTATTTTTCAGTTCAACCTAGTTCTCACTTTGAACTATGGCTTTTTAAATATATATTAATGTCATCATTGATAGCTACATGGCATTTATGAAACAAACTTCTTTTTCATTTAGTGTCATTAAAATACATTATTATTTCTGATTTAGTATATCATGTAATAAAGCATTTTCTATCTATTTTCTGAGTTTTTTTTCACAGTAATTATTGTTCATAATTTTATACACCTCTTTTACCCTTTCTCCTACCCCCACCCCCACCCCATCTGCCTTCTATCCCCACCCTGGAGCAAATGCAGTGAAGGAGCAGAGTAAAAGTTCCTTCACTTTCTTTGCATTTACTTTCACTTTACCATTTTCCTTTTATATTTTATTATAAACCAGTTAGCCTCATCTTTCACTAAACATCATAGTCTTGTAAAACAGAATCATCACCTTTAATAGTGTAGTTCCTTTAGTAAACACAGAAAGTCACACTAATGCTGTGGAGGGCTATTACTGATTTACCTTTACTCTAAGGCAACATTTTATCTATTTTAACTTTATCTCATTTAACTTATTAACTGCCTTATTTAAGTTTCTTTGACATCCTTTCTTCTTTCTCTAAATTTATTTCAATTATTATTTTCTGTGTTTTCTTTTCTATTTTCTTAGCTAGCATTTATCTGAACCAATATCTTCCAAATGGATTTTTCCTAGTTGCCTGAATATTGGTGAAGATTTTGAAATTCCTTGTAATTTGGTCTATGAGTTATTCTGTCCATAACCCCCTCCATTCATACTATTCTTAAGCGTAGTCATAATTATTTTGAGCATAAAGATCTGCACTCCCCTCTTTCCAGTTGCTACAGCTAGTAGATGTGAAATAATTGACAGTTGTTCAGTTTGAGTATAATTGGAAAGGATGTTCTGCTCAGGAGAGATAGCCTAACAGGATAACAAAGTATYACACTTGCTATCTATCATCTAACTTGTAGTTTTCTTCTAAAAACTAAACTTGCTGGGAACATTATTTTTTTTTCTCGTGGAAAGAATCTTATGTTCTATGTTTCAGAAAGAAACTTTCAGATGCTATCTGCAGTGAGAGACAAATTCCATTGTATGATGAAATTCACTTTTTAAGAGTTGATATCTGAGGCACCAAGTAAACCATTTGAGAAACTGATTTAACTTGAATCTCCAGCTACATATTTTAAACTATCATTTGTAAAAGGTAATAGAATCATCATGCTTTCCCTGTTGTATTTTTAACTCCAAAGAWGAAGTCTAATTAGCTAAAGAAAAAAATAATTAAAGCTCTCAGTCATGATAGGCTCAAGTGCTGGCTAGACTTAGATATGCACTAGTGTAATATTTAGAAAGGTAAACTAGAAAGAAAAGGTTGACAAAAATTTTATTATAAAATAACAAGTTACAATTGATGACACTGCAAATGGCTTGCCATTTCTCTCTCTTACAGTAAAGCTAACCTAAATTTAATATATATATTTTTAAATTATAAAATATTTATAACATGCACAATGCATACAAATTTTCATAGTCTGTCAAGTTTTCCTTCATATGCATACTTACAACTTTCAATTTTTGYTGAAATTTTATTACATTTATAAATTACTTTAAGGAAAACTGAATACTATGGCATTGGGTTTGCAAAATAATTTCTTCAAGAAAAATTATGGGGAAAAAAGACCCTTACTTAAGACAAACATCTTGTGTTTCTCATAATGACTGCAAAGTCTACTTAAAGAAAACATGGAGTGCCTG